ACAATACAAAACATCAAAAATATGCTTTTAAAATATGTAATTATCCCCCGGCGCGCGTTTAACGCAAAGCGGGGGGGTATAGTATTAGGCTCCGTTCGTCCGTATGAATTGGAATATCTTAAGAACCGTTGACTGGATTCTTTTCATATTTGGTACCTAGGTTCATCACAGTAACAGAAAGGTCCCAGTCAGGTTTGGTGACCTTGATCTTCATTTCAAGGTCACAAGGGGACTTAAACGTTTTACCCTTGTCAGCGAGATATCTCAAGAACCGTTCACCGGATTTTGTTCATATTCAACACCAAGCTTTATCTAGGGAAGGCGCAGGGGCCCAGTTGATTTTGGTGACCTTCACCTAAAATGGCGACACTGAAGATTTCAGCATGTTAAGCTACATGTTAAGCTTGTCAGCGAGATACCTCAAGAACCGTTCACTGGATTTTCTCCATATTTGACACCAAGCTTCATCTAGGAAAGGTGCAAGTTCCAGTCGATTTTGGTCACCTTCACATAATTTTCAAGGTCACGGCGATACTTTGAAGATTTCAGCATCTTAAACTTCATGTTAAGATTGTCAGCTGAGATATCTCAAGAACAGTTCACTGGATTTTCTTCATAGACTTTCAAGACTGTTTTTCAATAAGCAATTTCTTTATTACTATTTTGCATATTTCATACACTAAGACATTCATGTCAAGGTCAAAGTGAGTCTTGAAAATATTTGTGTGTTTGAACAACTACAGAGAAGATATCAAGAGAGGTTGACTGGTCATGTTTTTGTTTACATGTAACTTCATCTTAAATTACAACCTTAGCTTTCATTACTTTTTAGTTTGATTTGATAATTTGCGTCGGGGGATTATGTCACCTTAGTGACAATGCTTGTTTCAAATCTTTTGGGGCTACAGATAAAATTGCCTCAGCTTCTTCACTTTTGCCAATGGCTTCCAGGAAAGAACTATTTGTAGGCATACAGCAACTTTGAAGCTGGCATTTCTAAAGAAAAGAAATAAAAGGTGAGCATTTGTTTTGTGTGTTAAAAATTTAATGAAAAATAAAATGCAAATATAAAATTAAATAGAAGTACTAAAAGATTATGAGTTATAAGTCATATTTTTATAAGGGAATTGTTCTGCCTCTTACCCGTCTCTCTCTATACATGATTTTTCGTTATTTTTACATAATATTTCCCAGTAGAATATGGAAGTTATCCATGAATGGTGTCACCTACTGTCATCTTTCAACTTGTAAGAAATGCTTATGAAACAATTTGTTATATCTTAATAAAGTACATATAACAGCTCCCATAGATTTCAATTAGGCTTCCCAACTATTATGGACTTGCACGGGCTGCATTCTGTATATTTGTTTCCGTGTTTTGTGACAGACAAACACAAGCCTTGCTGTATATTCATTGTTGAAGCTGATACAATTAGTGCATTGATTGTGGTGTAACATGTGTTGTGCCCCTACACATATGGATCTGACACTTGGTGGGGACATCTAGATCTGTATCATGGATCGCTGTGGTCTGTGCCTGATGGTGGTCAGGACCCAGCAGTACAATACACAGCATGCAACAGCTGGGTCTAACCTCGGGGGCTGAATTCCCTGTCATTGATTCATGTGTACACTACCTCCGCGCTTTCCGCTTATAATGGGTTGTGCCATGTAGAACAGGTTAAAAATGCTGAAGAAGTATATAGACCTCTGTGAATGATTGGTTGCACACACAGCTTTAATTAAGATTAGTTAGTGTATTAAGTAGAAAGGTTTAATACTATGCTGCCATTTATTTATTTAGCTAAGTACATTTTACACGTACATTTAACAATAGTGAGTGAGTTTAGTTTTGTGCCGCACTCAGCAATATTCCAGGTATATGACAGCGGTCTGTAAATAATCGCATCTGTAAATAATCGCGTGACAATCGAGTGATCAACAGCATGAGCATTGATATGCGCAATTGGGAACCGATGACATGGGACTCAATGAGCTATACTCAACCAAATCAGCGAGCCTGACCACCCGATCACGTTAGTTGCCTCGTACGACAAGCATGGATTACTGAAGACCAGTTATAACACGGATCTGCATGGGTCTCGACGAATGAAAAATAAATAAAAGTTAAACAGATCATAACAGCCAAACTTTTCATATTTTGAAGTGCTCATGGTTTCCACTACTTTTTGATGTGACTAGGTAGGTGACAATGGCTTTGTACGACTGTTTCAGATGTATGATATTTCTTGGTAGGCATAGATCAGATAAATTTTTGTTCCAAACTGTGATTTGTGGGATTGCGTGACAGCAAATGAAGCCTTCAATAACCAGTAATGAAAAATGATATGACACCTTTAATCAGTCAAGACAAACTAACCTCTAATACAGGCCCCTGAGCATATACTTTATAGAACGTTGATCCGTCTTCGACACCCCACGTCCTCTCTATCCCCACTTCCCAGCTCTCCACTGAGCAGCTTATCCACAAGTCTCAGATTCCCTTAATAGCAGAAATTTTCCCTTCTGCTAAGAGGTTACTGTAAAATGTATAGTCTAAATAATGCAGGTGTAGATTTTCACGATCTTCCATCTTATTTGGGCTCCTTTTCAATTTAAGTGTGAGACAAAGCTTTGCATAACATCTCCTTCTCAGCTCCTGAAATTAAGACTTGAGGGTTCCTCAGTGCTTGGGGATTCCTTTATAGAAATATTTTTATTTGACCTTATACCCGACTTCATTTCGGTCACTATGAGTTGTTCTGTATAGATTGGCAGATGCTGAAGCCTTTAGCCCTTGGCTGCATCAGTCGTGAACTGCAGCATCTCGTATGTACACTCAATTACTCCTGCCCACAAGTAACAGACAACCATTGCAACCTTCTTGGATTCATATCCACTGACTGTTAGCTACATTATTTGCACAACAGGATTTAGCAAGCGGCAAGTTTTTGTTTCCTTTAAATTGAAAAGAAGCCAGTTGGCCGCTTGAAAAAACTCTTTGGATTAGATCATTGAGGGTTAATAGAAACATCCTTAATTGCTTGATCATTGGCAGGCTTACAGATTCCTCCCTAACTTCAGTAAAATACCAAGATCAATTGAAGTTTGGTCTCAAACAGCGCCTGAAGCCAACCATCCTCAACTCAGGCTAATATTGATTTCAATGTCAGTATTGCATTCTGTATAAATGAAGCCTGAACATATTGAATTTTGTGCTTTTGATGTGAGATTAACATGGTGAACTGGATGAAGAATATAGGTGTCTGTATTTATTGTGCAGTTGCGCATGCATTACATGCATGTTTATGAGGAGACAGGATAATATGCGTCGGTGTACATAACCATTCACAACCTGTGCACATTCCGCACGCTTAGTTAAACAAATCACGTGGGTCACATTAGGCTATTGTAGTGTTTACATCTGGTTGGCATTTCAGCATCAATAACCACTTTGATAAGCGGCAAGATAGCTGATGCGACATTAAACAATGATTACGCTCTCACCGTCAGCCGCCGATTATGATTGGATTGTTACAAGGCTCACAAGAATGTATACTATTCAAAAGGAATTAAGGAACATACCATACACACGATGCTCATCATACTCTTGATGTTCTCATATCACGATATAGTTAATCTGCCGTGGTAGAACAACTTCATTTTTTTAAATCAAAGTCTTCAATCATCAAAAAAGTCCTTGTCATCATTTGTAATTGTTGAATGAAAATGTCTGATTTGTAGAAGATCAAACGAAAGAGTGCTTTTTTGTAATAATGTTCATTACTATATTGATTAAATGCCGGTGAATGATTTGCATTGAATTGGTTATGTAAAAATAAAGTGCATATTTTCTCCCAATTGATTGACTGCATTTAACTGTGCAACATATCAATCAAACATATTTGTCTGTGTTACATACCCAGTACTATATCTGTGCCTGTGTTACATACCCAGTACTATATCTGTGCCTGTGTTACATACCCAGTACTATATCTGTGTCTGTGTTACATACCCAGTACTATATCTGTGTCTGTGTTACATACCCAGTACTATATCTGTGTCTGTGTTACATACCCAGTACTATATCTGTGTCTGTGTGTTACATACCCAGTACTATATCTGTGTCTGTGTTAGGTACTATATCTGTGTCCATACCCAGTACTATATCTGTGTGTTACATACTGTACTATATCTGTGTCTGTGTTACATACCCAGTACTATATCTGTACCCAGTACTATATCTGTGTCTGTGTTTACATACCCAGTACTATATCTGTGTCTGTGTGTTACATACCCAGTACTATATCTGTGTCTGTGTTACATACCCAGTACTATATCTGTGTCTGTGTTACATACCCAGTACTATATCTGTGTCTATATCTGTGTCTGTGTTACATACCCAGTACTATATCTGTGTCTGTGTTACATACTATATCTGTGTCTGTGTTACATACCCAGTATATATCTGTGTCTGTGTTACAGTACTATATCTGTGTTCCTGTGTTACATACCCAGTACTATATCTGTGTCTGTGTTACATACCCAGTACTGTACATACCCAGTATCTATGTGTGTGTGTTACATACCCAGTACTATCTGTGTCTGTGTTACATACCCAGTACTATATCTATGTTACATACCCAGTACTGTGTCTGTGTTACATACCCAGTACTATATATATCTGTGTCTGTTACATACCAAGTACAGTACTATATCTGTGTCTGTGTTACATACCCAGTTACATACCCAGTACTATATCTGTGTCTGTGTGTTACATACCCAGTACTATATCTGTGTCTGTGTTACATACCCAGTACTATATCTGTGTCTGTGTGTTACATACCCAGTACTATATCTGTGTCTGTGTTTACATACCCAGTACTATATCTGTGTCTGTGTTACATACCCAGTACTATATCTGTGCCTGTGTTACATACCCAGTACTAAATCTGTGTCTGTGTTACATACCCAGTACTATATCTGTGCCTGTGTTTCAGTCTCTCATCCCCACCCACCTGCAGGCCAAGCAAGGGAAGCCCAGCCTCATCCTCAGGGTAGACGATTACAAGGAATACAAGAAACTACTCAGGACCAAAACAAACCTCCTGGTTATATTTGCTCAATCTGGTGAGTTATTTACTGTTACGTTTGTGTATGATAAGCAGGTTAGGTCAAGTATCACTCTTGTATTGAGGCTGATTGTCTGCTGGTAGCATTCAACCACTGCTTGTTCTAGAACTAGTAGTAGACTTGTACTTGTACAAACTGATTTTAACACTATACAGTGTCATAAATGCTTGTTAACGTATGGGAGTTACAATCACCTCAGTACCAAGATAGCTTTGTAAAATGCCCTAACTTTGGAAGACCATCACTATGTGTTTTGATGCAGAACGTCATCATACCTACGGGGTGGAATTCCATCCTCTCCCTTCCAACAACCACTTTGACGGCTAGGACTGCTGCAGCCAACCCTAGGCAGTTGGTAGGGCAATAATGCATTTAACTTTCTGAAGTGAAATGTAAGTGATGCTCATTGCTTGTTCGTGCAACAGATGCAACCAAATATGCTGCTACTGTTTGTAGGTAGACCTAGTTTTGCTGCAGGGTAAGTCACGTCTTGGACAGTGGTCAGTAACAGTCTGGCTACTGCTGTGGGGAAACACTTTTTCTCATTGGGAAACTAACAATTGTTTTTTTGCATCAACTCACAGAGTCCTTTCTCATAATACTGTGGTGATTCCGTTTAGAATTGCTTCTTTGCAACCTTTGCTGATGGAAACGTTCTGGTGTCAATTCTAGGCGTGAATAAGTACATGGCAGGATACACTGGTTCACTGAGACAGCTCTTTGGGGACTTGTTCCCCAGAAATACCTTCTGGCCATAAGAAGCAACCAAACCTTCAGGTGCTCTAACTCGGTAGCTTGGTTGATGGTGTGTTGTTGTACTGCTGTTGGCTTTGATTGTCACCACAATATCGATCAACAGATTGTTCTGGTTCAGATTTGCTTATCCACAGACTGCACTCACATACCTGGAATATTGCTGAGGGCTTTGGAAATAAACAAGCAAGCCTTCGTGAGGCAAAATAGAGAGACTTAGGTAAGGCTGAGGTGGTCATTATTTGTGAGCCGGTTGACTTGAGCATACCCTCAAGACGCGAATCATTGTTGGTACTATCAGCCATTTGTCTACCATTATCAGCCAATGGTCTAGCACTGTCAGCCAATGGTCTAGCACTATCAGCCAATGGTCTAGCACTGTCAGCCATTGGTCTAGCACTATCAACCATTGGTCCAGCACTATCAACCAATGGTCTAACACTATCAGTCATTGGTCTAGCACTATCAGCGAATGGTCTAGCACTATCAGTCATTGGTCTAGCACTATCAGCCAATGGTCTAACACTATCAGTCATTGGTCTAGCACTATCAGCCATTGGTCTAGCACTATCAGCCAATGGTCTAGCACTATCAGCCATTTGTCTGGCACAGGCTGGTTTGTTCAGGGGCTACTGTGATGTTACTGAAATATAGTGGACTGTGTGTACAGAGAACATCCACTCACTCACTCACTCACTCACTCACAGTTATCTCCCTTGTAGAGACATCACAGCTGATTCCTAACTTCAGTTCATGATCATGGTATAGACTCAGTGGTTACAGTTTTTGCTTGTCATGCCAAAGGCCTGTGTTCATTGGGTACAATGTGTGAAGCCCATTTCTGGTGTCCCCTGCCATAATAAAGCTGGAATACTGCTACTACTCACTCAATCCAGATCACGAGGGTGCGTACAGTACATAGCTTATACAGTGAGTATCACATATACAGCAAGCTCTATGGTCCATCCCCTGTTGTATGTCATCACACCATGTGCTTATTAAATATTAAAATCTAATTAGGGTTTGGGGGACATACGTTTGTTATCTGTAGTTAGAAGAATGTACCCTTTGGCTGATCAAGGGCAACACAAGGTTTTTCATGTTTGATATACCATGCTGTGATTGCATGACCTGGGAAATATCTGATGTATAATCAGGGGGGAAGAAGTTAACAGGAATGATATTGAATACTGGTACTGAAGATGTGTTGGAGGGATTACAATGCATTGGTTGGTGATCGTGACAGTATAGTCCGTAGTGATGTCCCCAGGGAGAACTGTGACCAAGATGTAATGTGTCCATATCATGTAACTTTGATGTAGTGTGTGTCCATGGTGACATGTAACCTCACACTGTAACACACACTCACACAGACATGCACACATTCTCACAAACGCACAGTAACACACATGTGTGCAGCCATGCGCCTCACGCACATGCACGTGCATGCACACTAGTGGTGGTCCGATTAATTGAAATAATCGAAGATTGGTCGCAGTGCCTAAACAACCAAGCAGTCGATTGTGTTTTCTCATAATGGAACACAACCAATTTTGGAACACTTGTTTGCATCAACGAGATTTTACACAAGGTTGGTTATGTCTGTGTCATTAAATTTACATTTCATAAGCACTACAAGCTCAATCCAAGTCATGATTGAATATATCTTAAGGAATCCAGGAAATATGTGTTCCTAACATACTAATCATCCTTTAAATATGCGAAATTTGCCAATGGATTTTGTACAATTTGCAAAAACCCCAAATTACTACATGTTTCTTCTTTATTTTTTTTTGTGTGCATTAACAAAGATAACAGGAACATTTGATAAATGACGCTAACCAATTATTTTCGATGATTGATCAGTTGTAATGAACCGATCATCAATTATGAGATTTTAACCAATTCCCAACACTAGTGCACACACACACACACAGTAATGCTTACACACACAACCCCTTGAAGCTCATTGATGTGTCCTCACACAGACACACACATGCATGTGCGAACACACACACACACACACACACACACACACACACACACACACACACACACACTCTTTCTCTCTCACACTCACATTCACACTCTCACGCACTAACCCTAACACACAGTTAACACATTAACAAAGTTATTATATGTTCCGCCCGCCACTAATACATCTTCTGTGCTTATAACAATGGATAGGATGTCAACAAATGAGGATGTGTTTTAATCTTTACTACATTTCGTTTTCACATAACACCAATCTGTTTCCCTCAAGATCAATTTACTCTGGAGGTAGAAGAGATAATTGTAAACAGCTGTCAGATGAGTGACTGTTACTATGGAGTACACAGTTATAGTACTGTCGGAAATGCTAGAAAAATGCTTTTTGACTCATATTTAAAATTCAGAGGTATTACGGTTACTTAAATAACAAATATCACTTTAAGAAACATCTACCTAATGTAGACCGAGGGAATAAATTTTGAGACATGCCCTAAAATGTGTTTTTACTGATAAAAATACCAAAAACTTAGAAAAATAAGCGGTAGTGGGACGTTATTTGATACAAACTGCCTGTGTTACGTCATCAGCATGCACGGTATCGACAGGTGAAATTGACACCTGAGCACACGCTCGGGGGAGGGGTCATCTCAATAGATGTTTTCTTAAAAATGTTGAATATGTGTACGTATAGTATACATGTGTGTGTGTGTGTGTGTGTGTGTGTGTGTGTGTTTGTTTTGAAATAAACATACAAATAACTGTACATTGGAAAGAATCCTATCACTTGTGTTATCTTAGCGATTGATTGTAGAAATGTGCAACATTTTAATAAATGTTTTGCATGTCAACAGTATATTTCATTGAAAACATATGGATGTAATTCGGTCAGTTTAATCTAGTTGTGAACATTGGCCAAAGATTTAACTAAGTCACTGGTGTAGCTTCTTTAGACTATATATATTCTTCTTCTCATAAAGTTTGTAGACCGCCCGTCTAAGTACTCCCTTGTCAAAAGTTGTCAAGGATGGTTTTACGTCCCGGTTTTGCTCTTTGAGACCGTCCCTGTCTTATCTGATTTGTTCACAATATTGTAAACTTGTTCGTAAGACATACCAGCAGCTGTAATAAACCCTTTCTAAACTAATGAAAGGTTTACCTCTGTCTTTTTCACGCACAAAAAACTTATAAACCTTTGCATAAATCGACTGCAAATAGTTGGCCATAGTGAACGCTGTGATAAAGATGTGCATGCATGACGGGAAACTTATTTATCAAGACTTAACATTTATATTAATATGTCTTCAATGAAGAAACGATAATAAATTAAAGTAACAGAAACATTCAACATTTATTTGTTTAAGAAAAACGCAAATTCATATTTTTACATCGCCTGTATTATTAGCATTAATGTAAAGACTATTTCAGATTTCTGTTGTTGAACTGTTGTGTTGGTACCAAATTCTCTCCTGTAAACTGCCCTTTAAATGCATGGGAATGTTAAATCGATTGAAATAAAAATTAGGTACACCATAGGCGAGTTGATATATTGACAACATAGTACATTTATCACCTTTATAAAGATAGTAAGGCTGAAAAGCATATTTCTAGCATTTCCGACAGTACTTTAAGACACACTTGTCCTCTCTCACACACTGATAAGGACCTCAGTGTTTGCAGAACACTCTCTGCTGCTGCTGCTCTGGGACCAAGTCTTGTTCTTGTAGTCACTCCTTTGACACTGTGTCCATGAATGTGCTCTGGGATTGAAATGCTTTGTGATTAAAAAACTAGGTGTCCCTTGAATATGTGTGTATTGAAGTTCATATTAGTAAATTGTGAAGATACATCTTTATCGTTTACTTTAGACTCAAAGTAACTGTTTTTGTTGACATTTTAAAGTAATATTCTGACCCATGGCACTCTTCAGGTCAACAAACCAGGAAACATTATTATCAAAACCTTGCTCATTCACTTTCTATGCTGTTGACTACTGCTTAGACATATTCCAGTGAAGGGGCAGTGGGGTAGCCAAGCATTTGCTTGTCACACATTTACTCGTTGCTAAAGTCAGCGTAAAATCCAACTCACTCACTCACTCCCTACATGGTAAAGCAACAACACTATACTTAAACATGGTAAAGCGGCAACACTATACTTAAACATGTAAAGCAACAACACTATACTTGTACATGATAAAGCAACAACACTATACTTAAACATGGTAAAGCAACAACACTACACTTAGACATGGTAAAGCAACAACACTATGCTTAAGCATGGTGAAGCAACACTACTATACTTAAACATGGTAAAGCAACAACACCAAACTTAAACATGGTAAAGGAGCAACACCATACTTAAACATGGTAAAGGAGCAACACCATACTTAAACATGGTAAAGGAGCAACACCATACTTAAACATCGTAAAGCAACAACGCTATACTTAGACATGGTAAAGTAGCAACACTATGCTTAAACATGATAAAACAACAACTCTATACTAAAAACATGGTAAAGCAACAACACTATACTTAAGCATGGTAAAGCAACAATGCTATACTTAAACATGGTAAAGCAACAATGCTATACTTAAACATGGTAAAGCACCAACACCAAACATAAACATGGCAAAGGAGCAACACCATACTTAAACATAGTAAAGCACCAACACTATACTTAAACATGGTAAAGCAACAACACTATACTTAAACATGGTAGAGCAACAACACCAAACTTAAACATGGCAAAGGAGCAACACCAAACTTAAACATGGTAAAGCACCAGCACTATACTTAAACATGGTAAAGCAACAACACTATACTTAAACATGGTAAAGCAACAACATTATACTTAAACATGGTAAAGCAACAACACTATACTTAAACATGGTAAAGCAACAACGCTATACGTAAACATTGTAAAGTAGCAACACTATACTTAAACATGGTAAAGCAACAACACTATACTTAGACATGGTAAAGCAACAACACTATACTTAGACATGGTAAAGCAACAACGCTATACTTAAACATGGTAAAGCAACAATGCTATACGTAAACATGGTAAAGTAGCAACACTATACTTAAACATGGTACAGCAACAACACCATATTTAACTGTGGTAAATTAAAACATAATACTTTAGAATGGTGACCAGTTTACCTTACCTTCACTTTCCAGTCGATATATGTTATATATTAATATACTTACATTACCACTTCTATTTACCTTGTTCCATTTGGTTAGTTTACCACATACCTTACTGTAATAAACTACTGAAAAATTGATGATGATCGCTATCTGAATATGCTGTTTAGTGGGACTGCTGAACATTTGATACTGGGTTTCAATTTACATTCTGAGTAGTTTTCATACAAATGCTATATTGCTTGAGTGTCAGTGTTGATCAGCTTCATATACAGGTAGCTTGCTTGGCTTTTTTGTTATCCCCACCGCGCGTTTAGCGCGAAGCGGGGGATATAGTATTAGGCTCCGTCCGTCCCTCCGTACGTAGCGTACATACAAATTGGAATATCTTAAGATCCGTTAACTAGATTCTTTTCATATTTGGTACCTAGGTTCATCACAGTATAAGAAAGGTCCCAGTCAGGTTTGGTGACCTTGACCTTCATTTCAAGGTCACAAGGGGACTTAAACGTTTTACACTTGTCAGCGAGATATCTCAAGAACTGTTAACTAGATTTTCTTCATATTCAACACCAAGCTTTATCTAGGGAAGGCACAGGGCCCAGTCGATTTTGGTGACCTTCACATAATTTCCAAGGTCATGGCGACACTTTGAAGATTTCAGCATATTAACCTTCATGTTGTGCTTGTCAGCGAGATACCTCAAGAACCATTCTCTTGATTTTCTTCATATTCAACACCAAGCGTTATCTAGGGAAGCCACAGGGCCCAGTCGATTTTGGTGACCTTCACTTAATTGTCAAGGTCATGGTGACACTTTGAAGATTCAGCATGTTAACCTGCATATTAAGATGGTCAGCAAGATATCTCAAGAACCATTCACTGGACTTTCTTCATATTTGACACCAAGCTTCATCTAGGGAAAGTGCAAGGCCCAGTCGCTTTTGGTGACCTTCACTTAATTTTCAAGGTCACAAAGACACTTTGAAGATTTCAGCATGTTAAATTGCATGTTAACATAGTCAGCAAGATATCACAAAAAACATTCACTGGATTTTTTCATATTTGACACCAAGCTGCATCTAATGAAGGCGCAGGGCCCAGTCAATTTTGGTGACCTTCACATAATTTTCCAGGTCACTGCGACACTGAAGATTTCAGCATGTTAACCTGAATTCACTGGATTTTCTTCATAGACTTTCAAGACTTCCCTTGAATGCTTTTCTATAAGCAATTTCTTTAGTACCACTTTTGCATATTTCATACAATATGACATTCATGTCAAGGTCAAAGTCAGTCTTGAAATTATATGTGTGTTTCAACAACTAAAGTGAAAGATATCAAGAGAGGTTGACTGGTCATGTTTTTGTTGACATTTAACTTCATCTTAAACTTTAATTACTTTTTAAGTTTGATTTGATAATTCGCAGCGGGGGATTATGTCACCTTAGTGACAATGCTTGTTTTATTTCTGTCACTTCTATTACATGTATATTGTGCACCAAGGTGAAATGGGCTTGTCATGTAACCATAGTTACAAATAGCATCGGGGTATATGTTGTCACTACCAGGATCACAGCACTATGTAAACGTAGCCCTATGGCTCCAGTACAGACAATATGTATGAAGAACCCCTCCAAGTACAACCTGATCCACAGATCATCAATCAGAAATGTGCCTCACATGAATCTTTGCTCCTGGACAAGTAAATGATGGAGATAATTTGTTTGAGTTAAAAAAGTTCAACCGTCTTCTCATGGATTGTTGTTAGAGGCGACTAATGAGATCGGGTGGTCAGGCTCGCTGAATTGGTTGACACATGTCATTGTATCCCAGTTTCGTACAATGATGCTCATCGTGTTGATCACTGGATTGTCTGGTCCAGAGTCGATTATTTACAGACCTTCACCATACAGCTAGAATATTGCTGAGAGCAGCATAAATCTACACTCACTCACTCTCCAATTCAGACCTGATAGATATCTCTGATTTATCTATAATTGATCACTTGTGTGGTTTAATTGAACTGTATATTTTTGTATGATTTATATCCTATAATTTTGACAAGTAATGTCTGATTTGAACAGTTTATAATCAGTGTGAAGCTCTATCCATATTGCCCATTGTCAGTCTCTGCATGGTGTTCTAGAACGTATGTCTTCTCTCTCCTCAGAAAAGGCAGCATCGAAGTCCATGACATTGTTTGAGGATGTGGCTGAGGAAGTGAAAGGAAAGGGCACTATGGCCTTCATCAACTGTGGGTAGGTGGGCTAGTAAGGGAAACCTTCAAATGTCAGTTATTTCTATATCATAAACAGGAGTGCTATTGGGGAGTTTCAAGTTCAACACATTCAAGCTGTGCTAGTATGTTATACACGGAGTAGTTTCAGAATTCCATGGCATTGATACAAAATAGGGAGTATCATCTCAGGAATACTTTTGTTCTAAGTGTGGGTTTTCTTTTGTTTAAGTTCACTCTTTCTCATTTGATGTGTTAAAAAACTGAAGCTGAGATGTTTTAGAAAGTAGACATCTGGTTGGTTCAAGAACCCATGCATCTTTCATTTTGATTCATTGGTCAAAGTTTGCTCAGTTTTTTGCCCTGCTTGACCTTTGGATGAGGTTTCCTCAGATCTTCGAACAGAAGTATGAAATCAAAAGGAAAAGATCTGATTTTGGTGAGACAGGATGACGACAAATTGTTAGACTTAGTTTCATAACTCATTAATTATTATTTCCGTACTGACTAAGAATATTATCTCTTTCTGTTTCCAGAGAGGAAAAAAAATTGTGCAAGAAGTTGAAGTCCACACCTGCAGCTCCATACACCCTCAAGCATTTTAAGTGAGTACACTTATGTCACAGTGCACTAATGTCACGGTGCACTTACGTCACATTGCACTTATGTCACAGTGCACTTATGTCACATTGCACTTATGTCATGGTGCACTTATGTCACATTGCACTTATGTCATGGTGCACTTACATCACATTGCACTTATGTCATGGTGCACTTATGTCACATTGGACTTATGTCTTCGTACACTTATGTCACATTGCACTTATGTCACACTACACTTGTGTCACCGTGCACTTACGTCACGGTGCACTTATGTCACAGTGCACGTACGTCACAGTGCACCTATGTTACAGTACACTTACGTCTCAGTGCACCTATGTTACAGTGCACTTACATCACATTGGACTTACATCACATTGCACTTACGTCACATTGCACTTACATCACAGTGCACTTACGTCACATTGCACTTATGTCACAGTGCACATACTTCACAGTGCACCTATGTCACAGTGCACTTGCGTCACAGTGCACTTACGTCACTGTGCTCTTACATCACAGTGCACTTACGTCACATTGCACTTATGTCACAGTGCACTTACATCACAATACATTTGCATCACAATACATCACAGTACATTTACATCACAGTACATTCACATCACAGTACATTCACCTCACAGTGAACTTACATCACAATACATTGACATACAGTACACTTGCATCACAATACATTTACATCACAATACATCACAGTACATTTACATCACAATGAACTTACATCACAATACATTTACATAACAATACACTTGCATCACAATACATTTACATCACAGTACATTTACATCACAGTGAACTTACATCACAATACATTTACATAACAATACACTTACATCACAATACATTTACATAGCAATACACTTGCATCACAATACATTTACATCACAGTACATTTACATCACAGTACATTCACATCACAGTGAACTTACATCACAATACATTTACATCACAATACATTTACGTTACAATACACTTGCATCACAATACATTTACATCACAGTACATTTACATTACAGTACATTCACATCACAGTGTACTTACATCACAATACATTTACATAACAATACACTTACATCACAATACATTTACATAACAATACACTTGCATCACAATACATTTACAGAACAATACACTTGCATCACAGTACACTTACAAGGGGTAAGAATTTGCTCTCTTTGGTCTCAGGCTTCTTGCAAAGGAAATAAAATTGGATCCAGTGGTCCTAATCTAATATGGTTAATTGTCGTGTTATCATTCATCGTGGGTATGTCAAGTACAACATGTATGTCATAATATCACCCTCTCATGTTTTTCAGAGATGGTGATTACAACCGGGACTACGACAGGAAGTTGGTATTTAAGGTAAGACTTCTTTTTGTACAGGGTAAGGGTTAATATAGCTTTAATGTGCCATCAAGATTAAACATCTCATCAAGATGTTGAATTGTCAATGTGTTCATTTTACCGATTTCTGTTTCAGTCGATGGTGAACTTCATGTTAGACCCCACTGGTGACTTGCCATGGGAGGAGGACTCTACAGCCCAGGACGTCGTCCACATCGACAAGGAGGATGTAAGTACCGCAGCATCAGCATCACAACATACATCTTTTCCAACATGCTGAAGTAATACTGTGCATTAAAATGTGCATACTCAGTTAACTCACCCTTTCAAGCCCAAAAGCTACCAGCCCAGTAAGAATATTATTATATTGTTAACATTCTGTTTCAGGGGTTCAACAAATTGTTGAGAAAAGAGAAACATCCGATGTTGGTGATGTTTTACGCACCATGTGAGTTGACAATGATCAGGGCATAAAGCCTAACACATTAGACTAGGAATGAAGAAGGTCATCTTCACCCATGGAATTTACGTCATTTCAGAAATGATGAACATCATTCAGTGATTATGAAAGTTATAAGATGGGTTCAAATGATTGAGATTTCAAATGTGTCTATATCAGTACTACATGAATAACTTAGGATAGAATATGTAAAACAGACTGATTCTTCAGATTTTCAGGAAACATTATGTCAATATTTCAATGACTTCCAGGCCTTCAATATTCCCTCTGGGGTGAAAATGGTTGTACAGTGCCTCATTCATTGTTCAAATCAATGTCATATCCTCCCTCTTATCTTGGTTCAGATTAAAACTCAGATACTGACTTACCGGTAGGCAGAAAGTCTCTAGTAATCAATGTTGTAATAAGGTGGAACTTGTGAACATGTGTGACAAGATTGTGAGTCATCACAGTTAGTGAGCCCTTAGATTGGTGGTTTGCTGCTCAAGCTTACTTATTATATTGTCTGCAGCATATATGCACCATGTTGGTCCTTTGATATTTTCTAATTAGGTTTATGATTAAATAGGTACATATTTAAGGATTAAAGATACTTGTAATGGATGTTTTGTGGAAGTAACTAAGGTGATATTTGCAGGGTGTGGATACTGCAAGCGATTGAAGCCTGAGTTTGCCTCTGCTGCCACGGAACTACGGGGTAACTACGTAAGTGTTTGTGATATGCCCATAACTGCTTACAAGTAGAATAATTAGAATTGAATAATTGGAATAGGTCCCCTGTAAGTTATGCCTGTTGAAAGAGGCAGTAACTCTGTTTCATTTCAATGACAGATATTTAGCAAGATTCACATATTATCATTGGACATGCTGTCTACTGATGTTTCCTAAAAGTGGAAAGAAACTTCTGCCTCTCTCTCAACCTTTCCCCTCCCAAAAGCAAACAAACCCCAAACCAACAAAAACAAACAACATACACACCCACACATAAACAAACCTGTACCACCACCATGCAATAACACACTACCATGCGTACCACATTAACACCTCCACCACACACCACCACACACACAGATCTGCCACACATTACACCACACACACTGGAGAGCAATTGGAGGGAGCCTTGGGAATGGATGGTTGCATGGAGAAGGAGGTGTACTCATCTTTGGCATATCTGACTTTCCTTGGTTGTGTTGTATCATTTATCAGATATTGTCCTGTCAATGTTATGCCGATATGCTCTCTGTTGTAGGTGCTGGTTGGTATTGATGTCGACAAGCCCCAGCAGATGGCGTTGCGAGCTCAGTACAACATCACAGGTTTTCCAACAATCTACTACTTTGAGTAAGTTTTGTCCTTCATATGAAATGGTTTAAAAGTGGGACCAGCCAACACAAATATAGTTGAGCTGTAACCCAGAGCCCTGCAGGCAGCTGGCACACAAACACCACCTCTGTGGTATAGTGGATAGAGCACCTGCCTGGAGTGTGGAATGTTGGTGCTTTGCCTCTAGACTGGGGCATGCCAAATGAGAACAACAGGTGTTACTTGTTGTCTCCTGCCTGGCATTCAGTGGATAACATAGGAACTGGTCTGCTTGGAGTCAGCATAGTATGTTTTTGTTGGGTTTCTACTACAGCATTGTATCTCAACAGACTGGCACTATACAACTGGTATTAGTTGGGACTGGTACAAGCAGCCACACACACATTCATGCTAATCATTATGTACCTATATTGCCGTAGATAAGCCACATTTTGAGGACCAAAAAAAGCAGTGAAATATAACCACCATTTCACCTCACCTCTAAACTTGTTTTTTTTGTCATAGAATTTCAGCAAATATTTACCCAGCAACACAATTGTACCCTTAAGTCTGTTTCACAATGTATGAACCTGGATCTTTGTAAGCTTGTATAGTCTGGTGACATGTTTGTTTCTGTGTTTGACAGGAAGGGTAGGGTAAAGTACAAGTATGGAGGGGAAAACACCAAGGATGGAATCATCAGCTGGATGAAGGAGTAAGTATTGCCATATGACCAGGTATGAAACATTCTCATTTGGGATAGGCCACAACATCAGGTTCAAGGACAGGTCTGTAGTTTTGCTGCTGCTTGCTTGTATCTGGGTCTTTACTTCTGTTAGAAGGTAAACCCTGGACCCAGGTTACCAGGGGATTCCCAATTTGGACCATGGTTACCAGGGGATTCCCCATTTGGACCTAGATTACCAGGGGATTCCTCATTTGGACCTAGGTTTTCAGGGATTCCCCATTTGGACCTAGATTACCAGGGGATTCCCCTTTGAACCCATTCCTCATCTGGACCTAGGTTACTTGGGGATTCCTCATCTGGACCTAGGTTACCAGGGGATTGCCCATTTGGACCTAGGTTATCAGGGGATTCCCCATTTGGAGCTAGGTATAGTCGCCATCAGTTAGTATCAGTGACATGTCATTGAGAATACTTGTACCCTGATGTGACTATATAATCATTTGCTGACCGCAGAATATTACTGGAATATTGCTCACTGCGGCAGTAAATAAAAATCAGTTACTCAGCACGCTCTCCCACACAACACTCAAATTTATTTTCAGTAGCAAACTTATGCTCATTATTCCTGTTATATTTTTAGTCCAGTCTCTTCTGTTTATGTACGATATGATACGGTAACCCACATTCATCCTGTGAGAGTTACACACGAGTTACCTCCCTTACAGCCCAAAGCCACCACAGGAACCTAAGAAGGAAGCGGAATGGTCAGAGGAGGAGTCTGATGTTGTGCATCTGGATGATGCCAACTTCGCAGACCATATAGCCAAGGACCCATCAGTGTTAGTTATGTTCTATGCACCATGGTGTGGTCATTGTAAGAAGATGAAGCCGGACTACTCAGAAGCTGCCAAGGAAATGAAGGAAGGAGGGGTGAGGATTAGTTTTGGGCGTGGTCAGTGGGTCAGTCTGATCATTAAAGCATTTGCTGGTCACATTTAAGGCCTGGGTTTGAATTCCCACATGAGTATATTGTGTGAAAACCATTCCTGGTGACTGTACGTTTATATTGCTGAAGTATATTGAAAAGTGCATAGTTGGCCCTGTTGCCTATGGTGCAATAGTTTGTTTGTAGTTGCGTCCCTTACCCGTGGAAGAATTTGTGGTTGTTGTTTTTAATGCTATATCAATCTTGATTTTAATCCTAACTTTGAGTAAATAATAATAATAATTGGTTTGATCAATGTTGGGACTGTTAATAGGGCATAAAACCCATCTCTTTCATTCTCTCACCTATACCTTTTTCAGATTAGTGGGACTCTGGCAGCTGTGGATGCCACCAAGAGTAGGAAGATGGCAGAGGAGTATAAGGTTCAGGGCTTCCCTACAGGTGAGACATGGGTTATTGTGATAGCCACAGTTGACATTGATGGCAGTGGTTCAGTTCTCTACAATTTGCTGTACAGGGTTGTCTCCCTTAGATTCTATGACTTGTGTAACTCATCAACAACATAGGTGTGACAGCTTGATATCAATGAAATTGTGTTTTGTGCAACAGTAAATACTAACTTACAGTGTTTCTTTTTTTCATATGACCTGCCCTCTGAACAGTCAAATATTTCAAGTAAGTATCAATTGAACAAACTACCAAATTTGTTGTATTTAGTATCAAACAGATTAGAAATAACAGGGTACTCTGGGATACAGTCTTCCACTACTGTCTGACTTGTGGTATGACCTTCGATTTGTCAGGCACAACACAAAGTTGTTGTTGTAAGCACATAGAACAGCAATCTTTACAGGAGTTTGCAAGTTATCTGTTATTAACCGATCTGGGGTCGGTGCGGTAGCCTAGTGGTAAAAGCGATCGCTTGTTACGCCGAAGACCCGAGTTTGATTCCCCACATGGGTACAATGTGTGAAGCCCATATCTGGTGTCCCCTGCCATGATATTGCTGGAATATTGCTAAAAGCAGCGTAAAACCATACTCAGTCAGTCATGTTGTCCTCATTCAGTGTGCAGATCTTATAAACATTCTTGCGTATGTATCTACAAACCATTGATTTGAAAATTAAATTTGTCTGAATTTCACTAAAACTGCCAGTGTTCAGAGTACTGTACTAGTAAACTTCTTGATATTTAGGGAATGCAACAAGGTAGCGTTCATCTGAAGCAGGGTTATATTGTGGTGTTGTTCAGTGTCAAGCATTATCATATTACGTACACAGGGTGTACTCATCTCACTCATTTTGGCTGACTGGTGATAACACAAATTTATTTCTAACCGTGTGCTGTGAGGTGATGGCTTCATGATATAGGTGAGAGTCACCATTGTAGGTATGTAGATCATTGATGTTGATGCAAGATTTGCAGTGAATGTAATACAACAGAATATAATTTCCAGTGTTGTGTTGCAGAGATGGCCAGTATGCATTTGATGTTAATGAGAGGACCAAAGAAAAGATTATGGAATTCATGAAGGAGTAAGTACAATAGCTTGTTAGAATCCTGTGCTGGCCACCATGGTGTAGTGGACTGACCTCCTGCCAGGAGAACCGCCTCCATGGTGTAGTGGTTAGAGCGTCCGCCCGGAGAGCAGAAGGTCGCGGGTTCGATCCCCGACCGCGTCATACCAAAAGACGTTAAAATATGGTACTTGTTGGTCCCTGCCTGGCGCTCGGCATTAATGGGTACAACAAGGACTGGTCGGCTCGGAGTCAGTATACTGTGTCTGAGTGGGGTATTCATGCTTCACTGCGGCATGGTATCTCAGTGGGCTAGCACTATAAAACCAGCTTAAGTCTGGGCTAGTACAAGCAGCCGCACATACACATACACATGCATGCACGTCGTCATTTGAGCAAAATATTCTCAAGCACGACGTTAAACCCAATTTTACCTCACCTCACCTCACCTGCCAGGAGAGGAAGGCTGGACATTAAGATGGTACTTGCTGTTATCCTGCCTGGCACAAAGTACCAACAGGCTATAACAAGTCGTGGCGGGCTCAGAGCCAGTATACTGTTTGTGAGTGTAGTATTCATGTTAACACTGCGCAAGGTATCTCAGTTGGCTAGTCTCTAACAGTCTGTAATGATTTCTTTAGATGTCATAGATGATGCAGCCATCAAATCTCCTGTCCCAGTAAGAGGAGTGATTTTGTACTTCTTACCGAACTTAATGAGCATATTGTCAAATTTATTCCAGAATCATTACTGTATCTGACATACTTCCATGTACTCACTGTTGGGAAGTGAAGATACCCTCTGTTGTACACATGAATATGTTGTAAATGTATCGGGGTCGCGGTGGGCGAGCTGGCTAAGGCGCCAGGCTAGTGATCCAGCGAGGTTGAGGTGTCGGGATCGAGCCCACCTGTGACTGGGTGTAAAAATCTTGGAGTCAACTTTGTGTGCAGACTCTTTCAGTGTTGTCACAACTTCTAGTGTACACAACCCTGTGCACTTAAAAGAACCCACGAATCCGTTGGTATATGACCAGATGGTGGACACATGAATACGCAAACACCTAGTTGCAGGTACAGCAACGTGAACATGGACAAAGTACTGTGACTATGTGTCCCAAACCACCCAGCTGTGAATGGGTACCTCGTTAGGATGAGAAAGCCACAATAACTCGGTGTGCCAATAGTGTCTGCAAGAGTTGTATACTCCCCAGGGAGTTGAGATTGATAATACGATGTGCCGTTGAGATTGACATCCAATGATTGAGGGGACAAATACCAGCCCCTTGAGCATGCATTAGTTGCCTGGATATGTGCGCTATATAAATATCCAATGATAATGATAATGATTTCTCTGCTTACCCGTGAAGGTCCGGGTTAGAATATTGATCTTCAGTAACCCGTGCTTGTCATAAGAGTGACTAACGGGATCAGGTGGTCAGGCTCGTTGACTTGGTTGACACATGTCATCGGTTCCCAATTGCGCAGATCAATGCTCATGTTGTTGATCACTGGATTGTCTGGTCCAGACTTGATTATTTACAGACCGCCGCCATATAGCTGGAATATTGCTGAGTGCAGGCATAAAACTAAACTCACTCACTCACTCTACTCTCTGCTGTACAGCCCAAAGGAACCGCCACCGCCCCCACCTCCAGAGCCCAAGTGGGATGAACAGGAAAGTGATGTAGAGCATCTCGGGGATGACACCTTCAAAGCCTTCCTCCGGAAGAAGAAACATGCACTTGTTATGTTTTATGCACCATGTAAGTATAGATGCTAGTTTGAAAAAGACATATACACAGTTTGAAGATGATAATCTATGACAGTTACCATAGCATATATGAAATGTGTTCCATATCAGATGAAGATATAGTGTCACATACATTTGTGGAAATTTAGTGGTGAAGAAGAGGATTTGAATAAACATAGAACAAGTTCTATGAAGTCTTTGAGCCCATACCTAGATGATGCAACTGTGTTGTCGAAGCAGAATCATCAATGATATTGTGTAAATCAACACTTGGCTTGTAGTAACAAGGGTGATGTGTTGCAGGGTGTGGCCACTGCAAGAAGGCGAAGCCAGAGTTCACTGCTGCAGCAAGTCAGTTCAAAGATGACAGCAAGGTAGGTGCATCTGTCACAAGCCGGAGGGATTCCAGGTTAGAATTAGTCTGCAGCAACTGATGATGTTATAAGAGGCATCGTGACCCATAGAGATAGAGGTGGTGGGGGCATTAATGTTCCTGTCACACACACTTTCAATATCATACCAGTGATAAGAATCTTTACTTGTGTGAAATTCCTTGCAATTGAAGCTCAGCGGATTTGTTTAGTCTCTGGGCTCCTTTTTGTTAATTGTTTGTTTTTCTGTAAAATATGTTCATGTCAGAGGCTAGATGTTCATGTCAGAGGCTAGATGTTAGTTAGTACACTGGGCTACCAACCTAGACCCTGGGCTACCAACCTAGACCTAATGTACTGTATATTCCCATGTTCCAGAGGCTAGATGTTAGTCTACACATGGGCTACCAACCTAATGACTGTAACCTATTCCCATGTTCCAGATGTAGTCTACACATGGGCACCAACCTGGACCTAATGCACTGTATATTCCCATGTTCCAGAGGCTAGATGTTAGTCTACACATGGGCTACCAACCTAGACCTAATGCACTGTATATTCCCATGTTCCAGAGGCTAGATGTTAGTCTACACATGGGCTACCAACCTAGACCTAATGCACTGTATATTCCCAGAGGCTAGATGTTAGTCTACACATGGCCTACCAACCTAGACCTAATGCTCCAGAGATGTTAGTCTACACATGGGCTACCAACCTAGACCTAATGCACTGTATATTCCCATGTTCCAGAGGCTAGATGTTAGTCTACACATGGGCTACCAACCTAGACCTAATGCACTGTATATTCCCATGTTCCAGAGGCTAGATGTTAGTCTACACATGGGCTACCAACCTAGACCTAATGCACTGTATATTCCCATGTTCCAGAGGCTAGATGTTAGTCTACACATGGGCTACCAACCTAGACCTAATGCACTGTATATTCCCATGTTCCAGGTGGCGTATGCTGCAGTCGACTGTACAATCCACACAGGAGTGTGTGGCACACACGATGTTAGTGGGTATCCCACATTCAAATATTTCAACTATGGAAAAAATTCTCAAAAATATATGGGAGGTCGAGAGGTAAGATAAGTTAGGAAACCACATGCTTGTAACAGTTTTGCAGTTTACCAACTCTCAACGTAATAACAAGTTATCTTGATTATAAATGTTCAGGGAAATTTGTAAAACTTATTGTCTATGTTTTATTTCAATGTTCATCTTGTTTAACAAACTTATTAAGCTTTTAAGCATTTTGTTTAGCAATGTATCCATCAATTAACACAATCTTTGATTGAAATTTGTGATAGCCTGTCTCATTTTCAAATCTGCCAAGTTAGATTGTGAACATATGTTTTGTAGCCAAAAACTAATTCCAAGTCCTCAGTGACAGTGATGTGAAAGGTAACTGTAGGGGTATGGGTTGGTCAGAGAGGCTTCTAAGGGTGGACTCCACTTAAGGACAGGAATATCAGGGACATGTAACGCATAACTTTAGCCTGGTCTCTGAGGTTGTTCTGTGTGTCGAATGACTCCCAAGTCTGTCTTCTCCTTGCAAGTGAGTAATCAAATATTGGAAGAAACTCTTTGTACAGATTTCATTCTTGACTGTTGTGACATCCTGTCTGTCCTCCAGGAAGCCGACTTCGTCCACTTCATGAAGGACCCCCTGAACCCCACCCCCACCCCTGTTGCTGCCAGCCAGCCACCCAAGGAGGATGCATGGAAGGATGTAACAGGCCACGAAAACGTCCACATCCTGTCAGACTCCAACTTTGACGGCTTCATCAAGGAGAAGAAGTCTGTCCTTGTTATGTTTTATGCACCCTGTGAGTAATGTCAAATATATCAAACATATATTACATCCCATTAACCTGTAATGTTTTGGGGGGCAAACAATATGATGTGTGGTTTGGATCTTATTGTTTGTGAACATGTAATTTTCACATCAACAGTGTCTGTAGTCTGTCATACAGACCCTGAAGCAAATATCCAAGGAATCCCACGCAAGTCTAGAACATGTGGCAAGTCTAGATTTCAACAGCTTCAGGAAATGAAGAAAGTCTCCTTTTCATTATATTTTATTTTTTTCACTATGAGCTTTTTTCTGTAAAATATGTTCATGTCAGAGACTGGTTGTTAGTCTACAGTGTCTGGTGTCCCCAGGTGTGATTTTGTGAGAATTTTGTGGATAGTGCCGTAAAACCATACTTGCTCACTCACATCAACAGTGTTCCATTAACACTGAATAGTTGTCAGTAATGTATTGCTCATTGTACGAAGCAGCTCAGTGGTAACAGGTGCTTGTAATATCCAACACATCAACAGTGTTCCTTCAAACATGGATCCACATGTCCATATGTAGTATTGCTAACTGGAAGCCCATTTGTGCATGTTTGTTTCTCATGTCTGGTGTAATAAAGTGACCTGTGGTTTCAGGGTGTGGACATTGCAAGGCCATGAAACCTGCCTATGGGGAGGCAGCTGCCCAGCTCAAGAAAGATGGAGTAAGTCAAGCTGTAGGGGCATGCTCACTTCTTGAGGCATAGCATGTGGAATATCTTGCAAACAGTGTTAGGTTTCCTCTATCATTATTCTGGGTTGGAATTAGTCCCAAGCAACCAATGCTTCTTGTAAGAGGAGACTTGAAGTTGTCAAACTCCTGGTTGAAGGCATGCCACCGTACAGCACTATGTACCTCATAAGTCCTTCTCTGGTTTGTCTGTTGGAGATCCAGGGATTGAAAGATGCTACAATGTGCTGTGACAGTTCCTTCCCTTAGACATGCAAGGACCCTCTAATCATGGAACTGAAACCATGAGTATGATTGCTCTGACACCACAATACCTGCCCTTAACCTGAGTTACTGCCCTTAGTCATGTCAGGATTCACAGCTTAACCAAATTACGATCCATGGTTGGCAACATACCCATCCAAGGTACATCTCCAAAGTGTGAAACATGTATGACCTGAGTCACATTCTAACTTCTACACTTTTCTACTTCCAGGTTGAAGGTGTCCTGGCTGCAGTAGATGCCACTGTAGACACGGCCGTTGCAGGGAAATATGAAATCCGAGGATATCCAACCTGTGAGTTGTAGTTGGTATAACTTCATTTCCTTACAGCATGTGAATAAGTACTTATGAAGAAACACTATCAAGATGGAGTAGTGATATGTTTGTCCAGGGGGGACTTTGATAGCAGCAGTAAAAACAGTTTGAGATACTTTTCTGATATAAATATTTGAATAGTATTGCCAAGGCTTGATCAGTATCTCTGCTGACTTACAGTACTGATTTCCTGCATACAATTTCACAAATCTGCCAAGTCTTGTCATCAATTTTGGATGAATTCGTTTGGGAAGAAGACAGTGCTGTTAAAATCAGATAGGTTTTATTCAGATACGATATCCCTTGGCATGGTACTGGTTTAAGCATTTGCTCATCATAGCTAATACCTGGCTGTCAAGGCTGCCATGTTTTAGATGCAAGGGAGCCAAACATAAAGGCTTATTTTATACTGTATCTTGAAAAATGAACTAAAACAACTAATTCTGAATCTAGATAGTGTCAACAGTAACATTATCTGGAGATTTTAACATTATCTGGAGATGTTGTTTCTAAGCCCCATGGTATTTACCCCCTATGAGGACTACCACTGAAGAAACATTTGTGCTTTGTTTTGGCTCGTTTTTATACAAATCTTGCAACATGCGACTTTGTGGATAACAGCTTATTGTTTATTGCATAGAGCCACATTTCGGTGTACTGCTTGTTATTAATCTAAGAGAATTTTATACATATCAAAATTTCCATTTCAAGTTGTAGCTGAAATCAGGGCTCGTGGGGTAGCCTAGTGGTTAAAGTGTCCGCTCATCATGCTGAAGATCTGGGTTTGACTCTGTGTGAAGCCCATTTCTGGTGACCCCTGCCGTGATATTGCTGAAATACTGCTAGAAGCGGCCTAAAACCATACTCATGTACTCACTCACTGTAGCTGAAATCATGATGAAAATTAGAGATTTGGTGTGTGATTAGCTCATGACCCCACAAAGCCAATTTTCGAGGTGTTTAAAGTTCACTCAGTGTTCACTTGATGCGGCCTGGTATCCCAGGTATCCGTTTGGAAAAAGGACTGATTTTAATTAGATTGGTATGTCGTGGCGACCTTTAACCACTGTCTGGTAATGGCCTCCTTATGAATGTTTCAATTAATGGTCTCAGTGTGTCTCATTCAGCAGAATGTATTTTTGATCAACAGCAGTGATACATGGACAGGTTTTACATTATACTTAACTGTTTATCCTCACAGATTTAGAGGGGCGGTGGGGTAGCCTAATGGTTAAAACGTTGGCTCATCACGCCAAAGAACCAGGTTCGAATCCCCACATGGGTACAATGTGTGAAACCCATTTCTGGTGTCCCCCTTGATGTTGCTGGAATATTGCTAAAAGCGGCGTAAAACTAAACTCAGTCAGTCAGTCACAGATTTAGAGAGAACTGTTGTTAATGGTGTACAGTAGAACCTGTTCAAATTTAATCACTTAAGCACTTAACCTACTCAAATTCTCCCAAAGACCTTCCAGTTCTTTCATAATACTTCAGATAATTTATCATGCCATAATACATTAGACTTTGCAGTAGAATGCCATGGCAGGGTAACTATAGTAACATAGACAATGGTCAAGTATTTATGTTTCTAACAATAATTTTGCTTGATAGGTGATCAACAGAAACAATGCTGAGCACTTAAGAAAACTAACCTTCTTTCCTTTTCTTTTCTTTCATAATTAATCAACCTGAATCTGCAGTGAAATATTTCAAGTAAGTATAGAAACTGATTGACTTGTAGTTGTGTGTATCAGATTCCTATCTCTGTGGTATAGCTTGATCTGTCAGTGGCATTCATATTGGTCAAATGACTTGCTCCACTTCCTCTGTTCCATCTTTGTATAGAATCTTCACCACAATGGCAACACTTCTATTCAGATATAGGGCTACACCTTGAGCAACTTGTACTATGTATCATTGAGATTTTTTCAGTTCAAGTACTTAATAACAATGTTAGTTGTACATGTGATGAAAAGAGTTATTTCCCTTGAATTAAGAAATTGACAAATCTTATTAAAGACTCTATTTGTTTATCTTTCAGAGATGGTGCTCTAGCATTTGAGTATTCAAGTGGCAGATCATCAGGCGATCTTGTATCTTTTATGAAAAAGTGAGTGATGAATTCACAAAGCAAATTCTTAGCATATAAAGTTGAAATGTTTTTCTACATATTCAGTTAATATGGAGATGATCACAGATAACAGTAATTAGAAATAAACTGAAAGTGATTCTATGGCATATAATTGGCTTCTCAAGCAATATATTTGAATTTATTTCCAAAACTGCAATATTACAGGCCACACAGACAAACAGACTACTGTTTCCTGATTTTACTGACCAAATATGAGCAGTGGCTTAAGGTGCATTATTGGGCTGAACATGTCCCTGATTTTGTGTTGGCAACAGTTTTGTTTGTGATACTCACTGTGGGTAGTTAATATTGTTGATTTATTTTTTTTAAGAATTGACTTCAAAATGTTTTGCATTTATGGAAATATGAAAGTCTGCCTTCATTTTCAGAGCTTTTTGTAACTTCCTTAAGTGGCATTTAGAAGCTGGTATGATGAGGAGGAACAGTTTCAATGGATAGACAGCTTCTTTATTGCAACAGATATTTTGGTATAGATCCTAACACCATCATCATTTGCTTTGGAATAAAGAAGTTGTCTATCCATAAAATGTGTTCCTCTTTGGCTTTTTTTTACTTTATGAGGGGCGGTGGGGTAGCCTAATGGTTAAAGCGTTGGCTCGTCCACCCGAAGACCCGGGTTCGAATCCCCACATGGGTACAATGTGTGAAGCCCATTTCTGGTGTCCCCCGCCGTGATGTTGCTGGAATATTGCTAAAAGCGGCGTAAAACCAAACTCAGTCAGTTTTTTACTTTATGCCACCATTAGCACAAAATGTATCGAAGTCAGTTTATGAATGCCCAACTTTATGATGGTTGAAAAATGTTTAAGGAATTATCATTTCATGAGTTAGTTTTTTACATAGTTTGTCTCAATGCCCCTGTTCTATTTCAGCCCTACAGCTCCACCCCCTCCCCCTCCCCCCGAACCAGAATGGAGTGATGAGAAAAATGACGTCTACCACCCTACAGACAAGGACTTTGATTCTTTTATGGCTAAAGAAAAATCTGTTTTAGTCATGTTTTACGCACCTTGTGAGTATGAAAAGTGACACTATCAAATACCGATAAAGCCCCATGATACTCCTAATTATCCACACCAGTGAAGATCTGGGTTAGTATTGGTCTTCAGTAACCCATGCTTGTCTTTAGAGGCGACTAACCGGGTGGTCAGGCTCGTTGACTTGGTTGACTCATGCTAATGTCTTCTAATTGCATAGATTGATGCTGTTCATCACTGGATTGTCTGTTCCAGACTCGATTATTTACAGACAGCTGCCATATAGCTGGAATATTGCTGAGTGTGGCTTAATCAACAAACAAACCTAATTATTCAGTACTGCCAAATGTTTATTGGTTACTAAACAGCATGCCCATTGTAGAGCTATAATGGTAAAGGTCTGAGACCTGCATAACTTTAGCCATTCTTCCACATCAACTGACAAATCAGCATATGTTTGAAATTCTGCCCAAAGGCATGTTCTATTAAACTCACTCTCTCGTCTTCTTTTCTGGTAAAGGTGGATGTGCATCAATAATGGTTCTCATATTTCAGGGTGCGGACATTGCAAGAAGATGAAGCCAGCATTTGCAGCTGCTGCAGCTAGACTTAAAAAAGAATCACCCAATGCTAAGCTTGTGGCCGTAGACGCCACCAAGTACAAGGATATCGGTCAGAGATATGGCGTGGCTGGTTATCCAACGTTGAAATATTTTGAGTAAGTAACTCACATTTTACTAATTTCACAAATATGAAAAAAATGCCTTTTACCCATAATAAATGCTAAATTTAGATTTGTCCCCAGAACACTCTGCTCTTGTTGAACATAAAGTCAAGATGGAACGGACACTTTGTATGTGTATAACTTTCTCTTTCAGACATGGTCAAGAGAAGTTTGACTATAGCGGGGGTCGAACTGAAGATGCTATTGTACAATTTTTGAAAAAGTAAGTAATCTTCATCACAGCATCTTGATGTTTCATACAGTGGAATATTCCTGAGGTTTCTATGATGATTACACAGGCAAGTGGTTGATCAGTGGAGGGAGGAACATGGCTGTCAAAGGTTCTGTATATGGTTACCTGACAAGTATTTACTATTTGGGATGTGTCCTAGTGATTTGAGGTTCACTGCTGTTCAGAATTAAGAGTTCCCTGTTCTTAGGTTGAATTGGGGCGGTGGGGAAGCCAAGTGGTTAAAACATTTTCTCGTCATGGGTTTGATTCCCCACAAACGTGTGATTTCCATATCTGGTGTCCCCCATCATGATATTGCTGGAATATTGCTAACAGTGGCATAAAACCCAACTCACTCACTCACTTAGCTTGAATTGGTAATGCCATCAACCTTTGTGTCTTTCTTCTCACGAAGCTGTGAAGTAAGATCGGGTTTAACCCATCTCATTCCCTCTAGTGAATGTGAGGTTGTTGATTAATATATAATCAGTCAGGTTTGTCCACACCAGGCTAAACCCTGATAACAGACTGTTGTTTTGAGTCTTTATGTATTGGACTCTTCATGAGAGGGGTGGCAGGGTAGGCTAGTGGTTAAAGTGTTAGCTCGTCACACCGAAGACCCGGGTTCGATCCCCAAATGCGCACTATGTGTAAGCCCACATCTGGTGTCCCCCAATGTGATATTGTTGGAATATCGCTAAAAGCTGCAAGAAACCTCACTCACTCACTCACTCACTCACCCACTCACTCTCTCACTCACTCACTCACTCACTCACTCACTCACTCACTCACTCACTCACTCACTCACTCACTCACTCACTCACTCACTCACTCACTCACTCACTCACTCACTCACTCACTCACTCACTCACTCACTCACTCACTCACTCACTCACTCACTCACTCACCCACTCACTCACACTTCATGAGAATTGTTATTGATATCATGACACACTGTTCTGTAAAGGCTGTAAACCTGACCCTGCTGTTGAACCCCATTTAACTTCCACTCATCTCCAGGTTTGTCAACACAAAACCTGTGGTCATGTAACGACACAAGCCACTGTTTCACCCATGTGTTAAACTGCTAAGATCAGCATCTCTTTGTGTTTTCCTCCTGCGTCAAGCTGTCACCAACGTAAATATTGTTCAAAGTGATGTTAACCATGTACTGGTATTGACATAACTGCATCCTGCTCCTCCTCCAGCCCTAAGGCTCCACCACCTCCACCACCTCCAGAGCCAGAGTGGAGCACAGTGGCGTCGGCGGTCAACCACCTGACCTCTGATACCTTCAGTGACTTCATGGCACAGCGGGAGTCTGTCCTGGTCATGTTTTACGCACCATGGTGTGGTCACTGTAAGCGGGCCAAGCCGGACTTCCAGAGTGGCTCTGAAGCCATAAAGGGGGATAAGAAGAAGGCCTTTGCAGCAGTCGATTGCACCAAGAATACAGGTATGAGGATATGTACCATCATCCTCGATTATCCTTCGATTATCCTTTGATTATGTCTCTGTTTCGTTTTGCTTAATACATGGACTGGTTGTACTGTAGCTTTAATTTCAAGGGCACATCCTCAACTTCAAATCTATAATTTGTGATTTGAGTAAACGGATGATTTTAGCGTTGTGCCACTCAAATCAGAGTTGAAAAAAAGGCTTGGTAGCTAATAGGTCAAGGGTATTTATGATACGAGAATGTATAGAAATATAATTCTCAGGATAAATCAGGCAATACAGTGTTAGCTTAAACTGTTCATGCATCAGTAAAGATGCTTCAAAATAGAGGCTGGAGAGATCATAATGTAATATTAGACAGAAGTTCATACATCAAGTGTTACAAATAGCTGATGTTTGCAAGTTACTGGTCAGTTGAAACTTCTTGTCATATTCCTGCATTGTTTGGAACTAAACATTGGTCAAGATGCTGACCAAGAGGTGATGGGTCTTTGATCATGCCTGTGCCACAGATTTGCTTGGTTCAGGTTCAATTACTCGCAGGCCACCAATGGTGGTACATTGTTCAGGGAGAAGTGAAATATCTTTTCTCATTCAAGTGTTAATTTTGTGTTTGATAAGAGAGTCATGGTTTACATGCAGTTAACAATTTTTTCATTGCAATCTAGAAATGATGTCTCACAATGTTTGGTTTTCAGATGTGTGTAAAAAAGAAGATGTGAGTGGTTACCCTACAATCAAGCTATATGTGGGTGGCAAGTTCCTCACTGCTTACAATGGTGATAGGACGAAAGATGAATTTGTCAAGTTTCTTAAGAATGCCCCAACAATAAAGAAAGATGAATTATAGAAATCCTGTTTTTAATTAAAATATTTATAATTTTAATTGCCTTGTTTGTGTTTTGTTGTTTATGAAGTGGAAGGTTGAAAATAAGAAAACGCTCTACTACAGGGTTAGACAAGGGGGCCTCTACTCTCCCACAATCAGGGTGAACAAGTGGGCCTCTTCTCTTGGTCCCACTATAGGGTTAGACAAGGGGGCCTCTACTTTCCCACAATCAGGGTAAGCAAGTGAGCCTCTTCTCTTGGACCCACAATAGGGTTAGACAAGGGGGCCTCTACTTTCCCACAATCAGGGTAAGCAAGTGAGCCTCTTCTCTTGGACCCACAATAGGGTTAGACAAGGGGGCCTCTACTTTCCCACAATCAGGGTAAGCAAGTGAGCCTCTTCTCTTGGCTCCACAATAGGGTTGGACAAGGGGACCTCTTCTGTCCCATGATAAGGGTAAGCAAGTGAGCCTCTTCTCTTGGTCCCACAATAGGGTTAGACAAGGGGGCCTCTACTTTCCCACAATCAGGGTAAGCAAGTGAGCATCTTCTCTTGGCTCCACAATAGGGTTGGACAAGGGGACCTCTTCTGTCCCATGATAAGGGTAAGCAAGTGAGCCTTATCTCTTGGTCCCACAATAGGGTTAGACAAGGGGGCCGGGGCCTCTACTTTCCCACAATCAGGGTAAGCAAGTGAGCCTCTTCTCTTGGTCCCACAATAGGGTTAGACAAGGGGGCCTCTACTTTCCCACAATCAGGGTAAGCAAGTGAGCCTCTTCTCTTGGTCCCACAATAGGGTTGGACAAGGGGACCTCTTCTGTCCCATTATAAGGGTAAGCAAGTGAGCCTCTTCTCTTGGTCCCACAATAGGGTTAGACAAGGGGGCCTCTACTTTCCCACAATCAGGGTAAGCAAGTGAGCCTCTTCTCTTGGCTCCACAATAGGGTTGGACAAGGGGACCTCTTCTGTCCCATGATAAGGGTAAGCAAGTGAGCCTCTTCTCTTGGTCCCACAATAGGGTTAGACAAGGGGGCCTCTACTTTCCCACAATCAGGGTAAGCAAGTGAGCCTCTTCTCTTGGCTCCACAATAGGGTTGGACAAGGGGACCTCTTCTGTCCCATGATAAGGGTAAGCAAGTGAGCCTCTTCTCTTGGTCCCACAATAGGGTTAGACAAGGGGGGCTCTACTTTTCCCACAATCAGGGTAAGCAAGTGAGCCTCTTCTCTTGGTCCCACAATAGGGTTAGACAAGGGGGCCTCTACTTTCCCACAATCAGGGTAAGCAAGTGAGCCTCTTCTCTTGGCTCCACAATAGGGTTGGACAAGGGGACCTCTTCTGTCCCATGATAAGGGTAAGCAAGTGAGCCTCTTCTCTTGGTCCCACAATAGGGTTAGACAGACAAGGGGCCTCTACTTTCCCACAATCAGGGTAAGCAAGTGAGCCTCTTCTCTTGGCTCCACAATAGGGTTGGACAAGGGGGACCTCTTCTGTCCCATGATAAGGGTAAGCAAGTGCCTCTTCTCTTGCCTCTTCTCTTGGTCCCACAATAGGGTCTACTGTCCCATGATAAGGGTAAGCAAGTGAGCCTCTTCTCTTGGTCCCACAATAGGGTTAGACAAGGGGCCTCTACTTTCCCACAATCAGGGTAAGCAAGTGAGCCTCTTCTCTTGGCTCCACAATAGGGTTGGACAAGGGGACCTCTTCTGTCCCATGATAAGGGTAAGCAAGTGAGCCTCTTCTCTTGGTCCCACAATAGGGTTAGACAAGGGGGCCTCTACTTTCCCACAATCAGGGTAAGCAAGTGAGCCTCTTCTCTTGGCTCCACAATAGGGTTGGACAAGGGGACCTCTTCTGTCCCATGATAAGGGTAAGCAAGTGAGCCTCTTCTCTTGGTCCCACAATAGGGTTAGACAAGGGGGCCTCTACTTTCCCACAATCAGGGTAAGCAAGTGAGCGTCTTCTCTTGGCTCCACAGTAGGGTTGGAAAAGGGGACCTCTTCTGTCCAATGATAAGGGTAAGCAGGAGAGTCTCTTCTCTTGGCTCTACAATAGGGTTAGGCAACGGGGCCTCCACTCTCCCTTGATAAGAGTAAGCAAGAGAGTGTCTACTCCTACACCTACCTCACGGCAAACATGCTGAAGTGCTTCCTTAACCCTCTCCACAGACGTTCAGAGACTATCCAATGATGGCAAGCATTTGGCATTGCTGTCGGATATCAGTAACATTGCTGAACATTTTTCTGTAACATATAATTGTTTTTGATAACAATTTGAACCTGTGATGTCCGGGTTAGAACTGGTCTTCAGCAACCCATGTTTGTCATAAGAGGCGACTAATGGGATTGGGTGGTCAGGCTCACTGACTTGGTTGTTATGTCATCATCGTATCCCAACTGCGTAGATCGAGGCTCATGTTGTTTACTGGATTGTCTGGTGCAGACTAGGTTATTTACAGACTGGAGCCATATAGCTGGAATATTGCTGAGTGCTGCGTTAAGCAAAAGACAAAAACAAATTACAAACAAACAAAGTGTATAACATTACCATAATTTACCATTAGTTAGAAGGTCGTCAGTGAACCAATCAGATGTAAGTTTAGTGGTGATATGAATCGAACCTACTTTATCAAAGCATCTCTATCCTCTGAAAGATGATTGGTGGAAGCGAGAACATCTCTATTCTCAGTACCATGATTGGTGTAAGGGAGAGCGTCTCAATTCTCTGTACCATGATTGGTGTAAGGGAGAGCGTCTCTATTCTCTGTACCATGGTTGGTTTAAGCAAGAGCGTCCCTATTCTCTGAACCATGGTTGGTTTAAGCAAGAGCGTCTCTATTCTCTGAACCATGGTTGGTTTAAGCAAGAGCGTCTCTATTCTCTGAACCATGGTTGGTTATTCTCTGAAGGTCAAGAGCGTCTCTATTCTCTGAACCATGGTGTGGTTTCTATTCTCTATATCATGACTGGTGTAAGGAAGAGCGTCTCTATTCTCTGTATTATGACTGGTGTAAGGAAGAGCGTCTCTATTCTCTATATCATGACTGGTGTAAGGAAGAGCGTCTCTATTCTCTATATTATGACTGGTGTAATGAAGAGCGTCTCTATCCTCTATATTATGACTGGTGTAAGGAAGAGCGTCTCTATTCTCTATGTCATGATTGGTGTAAGGAAGAGCGTTTCTATTCTCTATATTATGACTTGGGTAAACGAGAGATCAACGTTCTGTATCTTCATTCCAGTAAGCAAAGAAAGTCTCTCCGCACAACTTTGATCAGGTTGAACAAGAGCGCCTCTATTCTCTGTACCTCTGAGCCTGTGACTATGATATCAAGCATGAGCAATGATCCAGGTAGTCGGGTGCAGTGAGATGTCAAGTCTCCAGTTCGTGCCTAGTGTATTGCGGATTTCACTTGCGCACCCATAGGCAAACATCCTGAATTATTCATGCTGAAATACGAGAAGCTATTATCTTTGTCACTGGAAAGTTGAACACTCCTTTTCATACCTGTTCTTCATGACTGCAGCTTGAACATGTTGTACCAAGGTATGGACCTTCTTGGTTTAAAACATACATAAATCATGAAACCTCAGTTGTTAGAAACAAGTGAAATGATGACACTCGTGAACCTATTGATGACAAGGTTCAGGCCTGCCCGAGTCAGGGTGTTATGCTTGAGCACGTAACAAGTCGTGCAGCCATTAAAAGCAGACGACCCGCCGTAGTCTGGGTGTTCACTGTGCCCCAGAGCACGATCTCTGCAATTGGTGTTAATAACATAGTTATAACGGCTGCCCAGACCCCTCGGCAACACACCCTTGTCGTAAAAGGCGACTGAGTGGATCCGATGTTAAAGCTAGTTGATTTACTGATTACATGTCACATACACCATGCTCACGTTTTCAATCACTGGATTGTCTGGTCCATTATATCCAGACCGCCGTCATGTAGCTGGAAGAATGCTGCCTCAGACAATCATATTAAAAGTAATTGTTACTTCCAGTGCTTTATCTTGAGTTCAATCTGATGATTAGTACTAAAAGGATTGAATACTTTAAGAGATGGTAATACTCGAAGGCTGATGACTCGCATCCGCCAATAGGGATGGCTGTTTAACCCCCTAGTCTGTCATAACTATGGAAATGAAAATTAGTTCGTCAAAATAATGATTATTGGAAAGCCCTATCCATTAATGCCTGTCTGTAGATGACATTATTTACAAAACCGCAAACAGATTTACATTTCAGAGTTTCTCTATCGTACTTGAGTACATAGCGATAGAGGCCAATATGCTTGACGTTTCTAAATATTTGTTGAAAAATCCCAATTCGGTTTGTGCTTATTGCTTAGCGACACACCACAATCAAATATAAACTTGAGCTCAGATATGAGTATCCTACAATATCGGCAAGACACCCAGAAACACGGATATGACACCCAGAAACACGGATATGACACCCAGAAACACGGATGACATAACACGCCCACATACGGATATGACACGTAGAAACACGGATATGACACCCAGAAAACTCGGATATGACCCCAGAAACACGGATATGACACCCAGAAACACGGATATGACACCCAGAAACACAGATGACATGACACGCCCACATACGGATATGACACGTAGAAACACGGATATGACACCCAGAAACACAGATATGACACCCAGAAACACAGATGACATGACACGCCCACATACGGATATGGCACTTAGAAACACGGATGACATGACATCCAAGACACACGGATGACATGACACTCAGAAACATGGTAGGTATGGCATTCATGAAGGAACTCTGAAACCTAGCCAGGCTGGATAGCAACGTAATGGGTGTGATTCTCACCAACAGTCATTCAGTCAGACGGAAAATACAAGATATAAAACCCTAGAAAGCGTGTGGTTCAACGCCGCTTTGGCCAGTTTGGACTTTGGTCAAGGTTTATCACGAACATGCTTATAACAGACGGATATAAGTGATGTCATTTCGCTCCGGACACTTGTGGTGTATTTTAATTGAAATGCATATAACGAGCATCGGTTATTAAAAATA